GCATGATGTACACAATAGTGAAATCCCCTTAACTTTTTGGTCTGTGTTAAGGAATGATTGTGATACAACATAGCCTATAGTTATTTTTTGGTTGTACTTTTTTCCTTTATAGTAACTTATTGCAATAGTAATTTTCAAGGATCCCAAAAACTTTTTTTTTTAGAGAGAGAGGATCTAGGATAGCTAGAGGGAGTGGCCCTAGGTCACCTCCGCCAAATGGTGGTAGAGGATGATGTAAGAAGGAGAAGCAACCATAAGGCAACCATTGGCAAGAGCTCGACCCCCATGTCAAGGCGGCGGTGGTTGTTCCCAAGCCTACTACGGTGCTTAAGCTGGTGAATACTTCCCATCCTTCTTATAAGGTTCAGAATGCAGTCACACTAGGGAGTCATGGATGAGGTCATTGCTCAAACATAGGCCATCATCCCGTGGGGAAAGGAAGAAGATAGCAAATTAGAGAAGTGGCTAAGCAGCAAGCTTCATCCAGCTTGCTGGAACAAAAACTAGCCACGGTGGAAGGTTTTCCTTTTAGCATTAGAGGCATCACCTATATATCTCCCAACAACCCACCAAAATATGCTGTCCATCTTGACTTGTTCGCCCTCAGGTCAATGTCTGTCATAGCTCACAAATGCTCAGAGGATGCATGCATGTGGACTGGCTCAGACAGTGAAGCTAGTTTGGAAGATATAATGGAGGGCTCAGGAGACCAATCCAATGAACACAATGAAATGGATGAGTCAGATGCTCATTCGGACACCAACATAGAGATGGATGCTGCTGAAATAGGTATGAAGATCGAGCTTCATGAGGCCTTCTTCCAGCTGACACCGGTAAAATTTGATGCTATGCAAGACTCATTTGATGACTCAACTGATGATCAATTGAGCCCAACACCTCCTCAAGACCCAGACCAGAACGCTGACAAGCCAGCCACCCCTGTGACTCTATCAAGTTGTGGCTACGAGGAGTCTGCCCAGGTGTGTGTTTTGACCCCTCCCAACCCATGTGGTGTTACTACTATGTGTGTTTCGTAATGGAACATATTGTGGATGGTTCCTCCAAGGGTAGGTGTAAAAATTCTCAAGACAATCCAACCCTTATTCCTACTGCTACGTGATTATGCCCATAAACTATTTGTGGTAATGCCCTCAAGAACCAAGAAACTTTATCTCAGCAACCACAACCCCCACAAGCTCCCCCTTGGCAGCTAGTGAACAACTTAGTCGCCCTTTTTCTTAGAACAAAGTGCAATATGTTTCCTTGGACAAGATGAAGGATGAAACCTTCCTTGCTAAGGATGGCATCTCTAGGGAGCCGAAGGTGGTTGTAGTCCATGAGAACATTAAAAGACTAGAGAAAGATCTTATGACCAAGATTATCGGTAGGAGAGTTTCCTTCCCCTTTCTTCTCAGTGAGCTCAAATACCGATGGTACCACTTTGGTGCTGTCCAAGTTATTACAACAATCCCAAATTCATTTATTTGTCTTTTTTAAATTTTGGAAGCAAGATATGCCATACTAATGAGAGGCCCATGGATTGTGGCGGGCAACATCTTTGCAATGAATAGGTGGTCTCCCACTAGGGGTGTCAATATTTGACACGACACGACAACCCGACCCGGACCCGACCCGGAAATTCCGGGTTGGACCCGACCCGTTTGATAAACGGGTCGGGTTCGGGTTCACAAATTTGACCCGTTTGATAAAACGGGTCGGGTCGGGTTGACCCGACGGGTTACCGGGTCAACCCGAAAACCCTTTTAATTTAAAAAAAATAGAGAAATGTTTATGTACAAATGAGTTCTCTGATGCTCATTTGATGGATTCCTCAGCCACTCCATAACAAGCTCCTTAATCCTTATCCTTGCCCCGCCCAATGAGATCATTTTTAGGCAATGATCCTATTTCACGTGCTCCGTGCAGCTCAAGCTGCTGCTTATGAAGCTCTTGCATTGCGTTTTTTACAAGATGAAGGAAAGTATCAACACCAGTTGTTGTAACTTTATCAAGTTTCTGCATAGCCATCTCCAGTCGCTTCAAGGTGGGATCAATTTTGAGAGCACATTTGCCAAATTTGACAAGTTTTTTTTCATGGATTTCATGATGGAACGCACGTTTGCCAAAAAAAAAGAAGATTGGAAGAACGTTGTCGGGTCGCGGGTCGGGTCGGGTCAACCCGGCAACCCGGCCGGGTCGGGTCCGGGTTGAAATGTCCGACCCGTTTGTAAAAACGGGTCGGGTTCGGGTTGACCCGTTTAGATACGGGTCGGGTCGGGTTCGACCCGAACCCGGCGGGTTGACCCGAATTGACACCCCTATCTCCCACCTCCTCTCTAAGTTCCCTCCAAGGCCTACATTTGCAAATCAAGATTTGCCTGCCCCAACTCTCTCATGTATTGGGAAATCAACAACATTACTCGCCTAGCCAGCATGTTGGGGGAGATACTATGGATAGATTCTCCTGTAAGCTCTTGGGACAAATCTTCATATACACGGATTTGTGTCATAATTGATCTATCCAAGAAGATTCAACATGGAGTGTGGATAAATGGGCTTCATGGCAGATTTTAAAAAGTGGAATATAAAGGTTTCTCAAACCTATGCTTTGAGTATGGCTTTCTTAGCCATAACAATGGAATGTGCCTATCCAAGGCCCCAACCCAAGGTTCCCTTCCCTAACAATCGTAGTCGCCACCCTCCAAGCCTCAACAGCCTCCTTCAAGTAGACCACCAAAGCACCCACTTCCTATGGACCACCCCTCGGCCTCCCCTCCTCCCGAGCCGCAGGACAAAGTTTTGGATAAGCTCTGAAGCAGTGAAGATAGAGATGAGGCTTCCCTTGGAGCATGGAATCTGGTCACCCGAAGGAAGAAGGGAAATTTCAAAGTTGTAAAGGATCAAGTCAACTTCCAGCCAGTCACATCTACACCTATTCAGTTCATGTCCTCTAAGGTGCAGTAATTGGAAGAGACTTCTTACATGATCTTCAATCTTCGCAAGAAGTAGCGTAGAGATTACAGTGCCCACTTCACCAAAGAGTTCCGTCAGCTTGGGCCCATAGCTACCTCCCCTCAGAAGAGGAAGATGACTTCCACATACCTCACAGGTGAGGACTTGGTCCCCTCAAATGCTCAATGAGTTGTTCCCTCTCATTGGTATGTTGTGGGTGCTCTAGGCTTGATGGATCTTTGCTAGAGCAATGGGACTCCTTTTAGCCCTTATGGTTGTTCTTAATTTTCATCAGGTTCCTCCCCCCTCTAGAGTGGTTCCCTCTTAATTCGAGTTGTACACCCCACAAGCCCATGAACGGGATTTCCTTCTCTTATTTTAATCCCCCATAGTGAGTATGTGTTCAATTGTCTAGACAATATATACCTAATTACATAAATGACTCAAGAAAAGAACAAACTCTATCATTACAAACTAACTTAAATATTAACATTGCACTATCTTAAGTCTAATTCTTTAATCCAACTCAATATATGTTATACCTGAAATAGTTAGCGACACACAAAAGAAACAGTTAATGTATATAAAGCAGGAACAATTAAACAATCACACCAATAATATTTATAAACATTAAAACACTAGTCGGGCTCTCGAATTTCAACAAACTCTATGAATCCTTAAGTGATTTCTCTCGTGTCCCTGATGCATAGTGAAATAGACCTTGGCATCCTTGAATTAGAGTAACCTAGGCAACAACTAACTCTAGGTCTTTACTTCAAGCATCTCCCTTTAGAATCTCATGATGAAGTTATAGGGCGGCTTACTTAGCTCTTGTCACATCTTAAGGAGGGTTTACAAGCTCTGTTGAAGCTTCTGAACACTCATAAATTTTGTGATGAATATTTTTTTAAATTATGCAAAAGAAGTAAAAATTCTTACAGATAAGCAAGTGACCCATCGGTGTTCTAACTCTTTAAAAGTTGTGAAGAACAACGGTCATTTCAAGGCATCGTTGAAGTCAAGCAGTGACATCATGACATCAAAGTAGGTGACATGGTCAACAAGATCGTTCATTCCCTTATAAGACTCTTGAAGGGCATCTTGAACTTTGGAGGTGACCTCATCTCTTCCCTCTCTCTAGAAAAAGCATTAGACAATTTAGGCTTCGCCCTCCTTAATGAGCAAGATTGTACTCTCTAATGGATGTGCGAGATGGATCTGTGTTCGGTATCAAAATGAGCGTAAGAGTCTCTTGTCTCTTATAGCACACTGCTAAAAGTCAAAAGACCCTTCTAGTCTATGTTTTCTAGTTGCATTCCTAATAAATCCTCGCAAGGTATTTGGATTCGTCTTCACAAGCATTTTCGCTATTTCTATGAGATCGCAACATGTAGTATCGCTAAAAGCATCTATATCAACATATGGTTCTTGTTCTACTATCCATAGATGAGTGTTTGTCTTTTAATCATTGAGATCAATCCACGCCCACTGCAATTTTCGGATGTTGGATCAAATGTATCTGTGAATGATACCCGACTTTACTAATAGGCAATACCAAAATATAACATCTAAGAACTTTGGGTGAATATGAAAAATAAATGAAAATATTAAAATGGTCTAGAAAAACTAAAAAAAGTAAGAAAAAAAATAAGCTAAAGTAGATCAATAATACTCCAAAAAAATTCAAAATATATCTCTTCGCATCTTAATTATAGAGATCCGAGGGCTACAACAAAAACCACATCAACAAAATGTAAAAAATACATAATAGATTATAGCCCATTATTAATCTGCTCAGATCCTAATAAATCATTAGAATGTAATCTCATTTTAAGAACCAATCAAAATAGATTATAACCCATTAATAATCTCTACTCATAAGAACCTAATAAATCTGAGTCCTATCTAAACATTTTAAGAGCCTATCAAAAATTTACATGGAAATGTACAAATATACATAAACTTTTTATTGGAAGAAAAAAAAAACAGGTTATTAAAAAATCCAAAGCTTACTTCAATAGTTAAAACTACCAATAACGACAAACTAATAACCCTGCAAAACCACGTCCAGTTAAATCTGCCGATGCGGACAAGCAGTAATTGCCTAAAACAAGAGAATAAAACAAGAAAGCATATCATTCCTTCATGTTTAAACATATAAAAATGCAGCAGATGCAAATACACTTAATGCCAACTGTTCAATCCACAAGAGACCAGCAAAACCCCAACAGAGGATAAACATGTAGCAACTCTCAAGACATCACAAATAGAATCGTAGACATGAAGGACAACAAATGGTTTTTTAAGTAAATGATGCCTGTTTGCTATTTGGCTTGGCCGATTGATGAGATTGTGATGACGCAAGAGAACAATTTGAAAGGCTCCTCACAGAAGCATGTGTTTTGAAGCCATTCCTTGCGTTTTGGTTGCTGCTCTGAGAAGCTGCACGTTCTGCTTGCAAGGTCTGGAAGAGAGGGGAGGAACTTGCCATGTCCTTAAGGTTAACCAAAGGCTTCAAGGCTTCCACTACATCACTCATGAGTGGCCTTACTTTAGGGTCCCGGCTGAGGCAACGTTGAGCAAGATGGGCAGCTTTCTGGGCTCCCTTGATAGAGAAGTTTCCCTCAAGGCGGGGATCTATGAGCCGGTAAAACCTCCTCCTTTCTCCAAGATAAGGTCGAGCCCATTCGACCAAGTTGTGTTCCCCATTGGGACGGTTCTTGTCCATGGACCTCCGACCTGTCATCATTTCAAGGAGGACGACCCCAAAGCTGTATACATCACTTTTTGAAGTTAAATGCCCTGCCAAATATTGTAGGGTATCAGAAGTAAAAATTAACCGAACAATAAAATTGTTGAACAAAACTAAACTGTTCGAGTCCATTATAAAAGGACTAATAAATAAGAAATCCTCAACAATTTATTTAAACTCTTCCGCTAATATCTCCCCGTGCTATGTTTTTCATATAACTCTTTCCAGTATAGGCTTTGAAAAGAGAGTGCAGTTATACAAATCAACAGAAAATTGACAGCCAGTTTGATTAATTAGTTCGAATTGTGTAAGTTGGATCCAAAGTTTTCGTTAATAAAAAATCTGAAGCCAGCTTTCGATTGCCATACAATCAAAATATGAGAGAAGGGAAAGTGAATGACTACAAAGAACTCAACAGGATTCCATGCAAAAAAACGTATGAACAGATTAAAAAAAGAGCACCAAGTTAAATAAAAATTGGCATTCTTTTGCCTAAGGATTCAAAGTCACCGAACACAAGATAGGCAGAAGCTAAGTTCAATACAACAAGATGGGCTACACTAAACTTCGCTCCCCATGGAGGAGGTCGATGTTTTGTCGTAGTTGGTCATGTAGCTATCTTGAAGCAACGGGTTAGTACTGATGAGCACAGTACTACCAGTTGGCTGTCAACTAAGTACATCAAATTGAATATGACTTCTGAGTATTAATCAACCAAAGTACAGAAGTTGAATGCAACGAACAAGAACCGCTAGATGAGTTCTTGATCAATCTACTTGGCACTTCTTAACTCTGGAGAACTCCTAATGGGCGACTCACAACTTTAATTGGTTGATTAAGCCCGGTTTATTGCACTCAACCCGGATGAATAATGGTATCCATCAACCTCCCAATTCTTGTCTATTTCAAAAAATCCAAAATGAACAAAAAACTGAAAATGCTGACAATCTAATATGCCCTTAAAACTTTGAAATTTGTGCCCCACAAAAATTTGATCAAGACTGCAAATTCTTGGCTGCCATGGTCATGGCACATGCCCGCTTGTGCATTATGATAGTTAATCTCATTTTACCTTTTTTGCCTTTTGATTTTGCCTGTTTGTTACCCTAATTTCCTCTTCAATAGAGAACTTTAACTCCTTGAAATGCAATGCCTTGAAGATGTGACTGCTGCAACAGCAGAGGATCAATTTTCTGATAATAAACACATCTTGAAAATTTGTCTGAGCTTTTTTCTTAAAAATCGATCAACAAAAGCCTACGTGGAGTACGTGTTAGCTACCACACTCCCTTGAGTGTACTTCCTTTAAGATATCAATGACTTCATTTTTATAAGTACATCTAAGTAAAGTGCAGACATGTTCTGAATAGATGTTCCTTGCAATATTACAAAATAGCATGCTTAATAGCCCAAACATAGTCTATGTCTATCCCAAATTCTGTACTACTTGTCTAGCAAAGGCCCATCAAAGATAAAAACATGTGCTGTGATTGCTATGTGTGCACTAGCGCATAACATACATGGTACGAGCTACTTTTTTTCTAGTTTATTACACGTTGTTCTGATTTATTGATCTATTCAAGTTATTTGTATGAATAAGAAACTTTTGTTGGATGTTACGCATAGTCTAACAAGAGTAATTTCAGAGCCAAGTTCAAGTCTCATGCAAATATATTTTCTTATCATCAAATTGAGGTAGCATAACAGATTTATTGTAAGTATAAAAATATCTTACCCTTGACATGAGCTTATGGTATGATTTTCTCCTTTTTTTTTCTTTATTGAATAAATAAATAATTTTTTTCAATAATAATATTTTTCTTATACTGTAACCAACTTAACTTTTTTTTTTTTTCATATTTTAAAGTCATCTAAACATTCATCAATTCGCTAATTCTTTCCCTCTTACTAAAACGACTTTCATCTTCTTGCATGCTCTTATTTTATACATTGCTTGCATATATAAGTACCTTTAAAACGCCTTCAAAAGTATTCATATAATAAGATTGTATAGATAAAATATACTTATTCAAGCTAGTATTGATCCATCCTCTTCTCTTTCCTTTCTAAACTTGATTAATGATTTACCTTTTTTTTGCATTCCTATCATTTATTATTAAAGCTAGACCCTTGAATGCATAACTAAGGGGTTGGATGAAGAATGGCTTCTTAAGTTTAAGTTCTTGATAAAAAAATGTTTAAAATATGATTGGCACGATTTCAAATTGATTTATTCACGTTAAGAAATAGTAATTAGTCATGTCTACTCAAATTCATCAACTATTTTTCTTTTGATGCTTTATCTCTCCATTCCCACAACTTATTGGCCTAAATTATGCAATGTCATAACTCTGATGATGCAATTCTAAAATTTACATAACACAAATCAAATTTCACGGACAAGAAAATGATCAAAATAATCCCTTGACTTTTTATAAAGGATCAAAATGATCCCTAACTATAGTAAACGATCATTTTGATCACTTAGCTCTTTAAAGAGGAACCAAAATAATCTCATCGTGGGAATATTTTGGTTCTTCTTTGAGGACTTGACGGACCAAAATGGTCCTTTAATATATAATTTTGGATTATTTTGATCCTTCATAAAGAGTCAAGAAACCATTTTGATTATTTTCCCTTTCATGGACCCATAATGAGTATTTAATATGTCGAAGAAATATCATATTATATTTGTATGATATTAATAGTTCATTTTTATTTTAAGTTATTTTTCATTTATAATATTGATTTTTTAATAAACTATTCATGAATTCTTTTTTATTTTTTTTTGCATTTCTTAAAATAATGTGTCATGTTGTACATTATCACTTCCCGAAATCATTGACAATTATAATATGTTCGTCGATCAATAATATTAATCAGCCTTGATTTTGAATCTCATTGGATAACCAATTGGGCAATGAGATCAGCCAGCATCAAGCACTCAACAAAAATATTGATCAGGTTTGAGGCGATTTCAACATGCATCAACTCAAGTTATGTAATGCCCTGAAAGAGAAAATAATAATGACATCACTAGATATTTGAATTTGGACAGTATGTTAGCAAATTAGTTTTGCTTTATTGTGGACCTTGATTTTAAATGATTACATTTGCATAGTAGGATCTCGAGCTTCATATTCAGTACCTTAATTAAAACACTGAGAGTAGAGAAGAGAGAGAGTTGCATTGAACCAATTACTCAAGCAAATTAAAAGTCAGCCAAAAGAGGTTTCTACTCAAACTGGTTGTTGTTCACCTGGAAGGAAATTTTTACAACATGGATATAGGATGACACCTACTAGACTAGGCATTTCAAAACTACATAGATTTTAATAACGTATCTCCTAGAGGTCCTATCAGCACACATCGATTAAAGTAGATCTTGTCAATTCCTTGTTCGAATTGATGAACTTAGAGAGTAAAGTGAAGTAATTAAGCTTTTATTGCAGTTCTCAGCAATGTACAAGATGTAGAACTCGCATCATTCCACAATTAACTTTTGTGACCCATGATCCCGAGTTTGAGATTTTGATGATGACAAATAATGTCGCCTAAACTACTCTTCATTTAATATATTTTATTGTTTGCTATTGTCCGTGAGTACTAACATTTCAGGAAGATCACAAGCCACTCAGGACAACGGGAAGACTTAAGACTAGTTAGATTAGGAGTATGAGTCTGACAATGTAATTCGTTATTTATTTTATTTTTTATTTTCTTGAGTCTGGCCACAAAAAGCAGGTGAGTCTGAGCAATCATGCACACACACAGGGGGGAGGATTTTTAAAAGTAAAAAAATACTATTTTTCATTGTTTGTTAATTGTACTGTACGAAGTTATTTCGTACTGTACGATATTATATTATAAACGTGTTCTGTGAACAAATCGTACGGTACGACTAATATCGTACTGTACGATGTGTTTCAAATCCAAAACCCTAGCCGTCACATTAACTTAAGTTATTATGCGTCGTTCGTACTGTACGAAGACCTTCGTACTGTACGATCTATTTTAAATACTTACTTAATTTAACCCGTGATTAGTGCAAGAAATCAAGGCTTAATTACAAATTGAAAATCATATTGTACGAACAAGTTCGTACAACACGATGAACAGAGACGAATTCAGATCGTCCTGGACGATCCCTTGTTTTTGTCTCATCGTACTGTATGATATATATCGTACCATACAATGAACAGAGACGACATTTGATCGTCCCGGAATTCGTCCTGGACGATGCCTCGATTTTCACCATTCGTATTGTACGATGTGTATCGTACCATATGATGAACAGAGACGACATTTGATCGTCCCAACTATCGTCCTGTACGAGCAGTAGTGTTAAGGATCATACTGTACGATTTAGAATCGTACTGTACGATTAGATTTTGAGCTGTTCGTACAACTTGGTGAAAACTTGTGAAAGAAAAAGGATTCTATTGTTGTACGTTGAGAAAATTTGTTTGCCTTCGTAGTAGTTTAAATTTTCTTGTTAAAAATTTAAAAATATCAAAAAAATTAGAACCTGCTTAGGTTTTAATTATTGCATTAAAATTTTCACAATTCACCCCCCTCTTGTCCATCTAGTAATTTCGTTAACTTGGTTATCTTATCTTAATAAAATTCTTCGAGGAGCTGAACTAACATATCTTATCAAAAACAAATTATTACTAGCACTAGTCATAACTTTTGGATGACTACATGCTTATTTCTAAGCACATTCAATTCAAGCGGTTACTGACCATCCACTTCAACTGAAGTTTATGATATCGAAGCTTTAGGTGGAGAAGAAACAAAAAATTGCAAGTGAAGGCTTCATCACATTCCTCTATCCACTTAAAATGCTTTGTACTTTGCAGCACTTCAAAGAAGCACAAGCATTTGTTTCCAGATATGGAGATAAATCATCGTATTAGGCCAGCAACTAAACCTATGGGTATTTGCAACTACTTTGTGGTTCTTGGCAATGGAAAGCATAAAATTTCTTAGAGCTTATCCAAGCTATCTTGGATACCTTATGGAGTAACATAAAATAAAAAACTTCCCA